AGGGAAAAGTGTCTGAAGAGATTTAAGGCTGCACCCATAGCACTTACTGGTGCTGAGCAGAAAGCAGGATGTTGCCGAGTTTCACTAGAAGTGTAACCCACAGACTGGCACTGGGCTTTTCTGCTGGTCAACCAAGAAATCACCATGTCCTGGTGTTGGGTTCTGCTGCCTTTCACTTTCGAAAGAGGTAAAGTTGAGCTTCTGCTATTAAATGGCATGGATGTGCACCACAGAATTCTCCAGGACAGAGAAGCAATTGTCCCAATACTTCCAAGGCTCCTGAAAATATCGGCATAGGCAGGTCCTTTCCACCCCGAGATCTGGCTGCAATTAATTCCCTACATCTTTTCCCCTTACTCCAGGGAGCTGCTTGACAGAAGCTGCTAAGTGTCTTCCTCTCTAGGATCCTGGTGCTCTTCAGACACAAATGTAGCCATTGAGCATGCCTGAGAGTTAGGGCAGGACTGCAACCCCTCCTTTACAAAACCATAACAAGGAACGGAAGTGGCTTGCTCAGAACAGAGAGCCAGGGCCACAGCATGAAACAGAACCCAGGTCTCCTCTGAAGACCTGTCTTTAGTCATGTTTCTTTCCCCTATGTGAAACGTCTAATGCAAATAACTGGCACAGAGATTTGTCCCCTACTAGACAGGAAAGGCCAGAAGCAGAAGAGGCCAGCTGCAAGGTGGGAAGCAGGGTACTGCATTTTGCTGGGATGTGTTTTTCAGGGGAGGGCTGGAGAAGCCAGGCCCAGCTCAGCTCTATAGCAAAACTGTGATCTGTCCAATCTCCTTTCCTTCAGAGGGAGCTCTGCAGTGGTGGGCACCATCCACACCATGGGCAGAGGCCGTGAGAAAGCCAGTTTGGAAAAAAAAGCATGGCTAAACTGCACCTCTTTTTTTAACATCACAGCATGGTGAGCACTGAGTGCAGACTGGGGCAGAAGGGACAGGGCATTCTGCTGGAGAAAAGACATCCTGCCCTGTCCCCACATAGGAAAGGAAGCTTTCTGGAGTGTTTCCGACAACTGGGATAGAGCCAGGCTCTGAGGGACAATTTTTAAAGCTCCTTCACCTTGAGTGGGTGGCAATAAAGTCTGGCTTGGGAGGGATGCTGAGCTGTGGGACACAGGAGGGAAGAGATTAATGCGCTTAGCAAAATGGTTCAAGTGGTACTGCCAGCTTAGCAAAGAAGCATCAGCACCATGGGGAAGGACAGAGGGGAGGCACTCAAGGAAGGCTGCACTTGCACTTCTATACTTCTGGCTGTCCCAGTATCAGGAACACACTGATACATGCACAGACCTGGCTCTGTAATGCACAAGCCACTGTGGGGAAGCATTTATTTGACTAAAGCTGCATTGAAGAGCTACAATAATGCATTTAAGTTATCAGTCAAGATGTAGGCTTTGAGTGCTGGTGGCTACAATAACGCATTTAAGTTACCAGTCAAGATGTGGGCTTTGAATGCAAAGCGCTTTGGCTGGGGGGTTAGCAAATACATTACATATAAACTACTTGTCAGCACCGATGCTCCTAGCATGTTCCACAACAGCACACAACAACTTTGGTCAAGAAAACCTAAGGATAGGTACAAACTTTTTTAGTAGTAACAACACTGGGAGCAGAAATAGCCATTTAAATGTTTGCACAGCATCTTTGCTTTCATATTGCACGTCGTAATAAGATAACCAAAGAGAAAGAGGCACCTTCAGTAACTTGGAAGTAGTTTTCTTATAGGCTGTCACAGCAAAGGTAACATGCCTTGGCAGTCTAACTTGAACCTCCAATGCACAGGTCCAACACAGGATCTCATATGACGCTGGGCAACATTTCTTTTTTCCCTGCGTTCCCAAAGGGAGACAGCTATATCAGTGGCTTCATTTTTTCAGAAATGTTGAGCATCTGTGCAACTTGTACTAATGGTCTATGTGGGACTAATGCTTTTACTTGACTAGTATAGTTAACGTGCCCCCAGCAGTAGCATTTCTACTCTAAAGGTGCTGATATAATGATTTCGATAAAAAAAATCTTAGTCCCAGCAGAAATAGCCATATCAGCACACTAGAGCAGGCCTCATATCAGCACCTGCCTCAGTCATGGAGAGGGCAGAAAGCCAACTAGCGACCCTAAAAGCTTTTCTGAAGACATATTTTATCACTTAATATTACACTAACAACTTGGTTTTCCTGTGAGTGAGGGAGCTTTGCACCAAGAAACTCATAAAAACAGAAAAGAGGCAAATACAGCAACTTATGTGTGAACAGATCTTAACAGGGTTTCAGTCAGGATATTCCAGTCCCACCTGACTCAGAACTCTTGTTAACAGTATTTTAGTCACTAGTATGCAAAAGTTTTGAGCACAGCGGCTAAGTGCCTTTTTTTCTTCTTTTTTTTTTTGTTGTTTTTTTGTTTTCTGGTTTGTAAGAACTGCGTGCTGGACACACCAGCACCTACCCTATTCAAACAGAAGTCTTAACAGAGGTTTCAGAAGCAATTCACAGTATCAGGATGAGCACTTGTAGGCTCCTGCCCAAGATCACCTCACCAACCGCACAACTGTTCAAAGGGACGGTGACAAGAGTTCCCCTCTTGTGCTGCCAGGAGCTGACCCTGTTCTGCTTTTGTATATCTGGAGCTAAGGTGCGTCATCTTCATTTTACCAAAACTACATCAAAGAAAGAAGAACCAAGCCTCAAGGATGTATCCAACTTCAAGAGAATAAAGGCCAAGCACCACCTCACATGTATCTTCTACATAGAAAAATGACATTTTAAAACAGCATCTCAAGTAGAACTCTAGAACTTTGCAAACAAATGCTGACACAGAGCAAGTAAAAACCAACACAGTAAATATATCAAGACATGTGGAAAATAAAAAAATACTCTTGGCAGTGAGAGCTCCGAGTCCATGTAATCCGGTGTCCCGGCAGAGAAATTAACTTAGATGAAGCTGCTGTCCCTACGGTTGGAGGTCTTCCATTAGGGAGTTACAGGTAAGATGGCTGAACAGGACTGGGTGTGGGAGGCTTTACATAATCAAATCCAGGTTCAGTTAAAGTGTGTGTCCTTGGTAGCGGCACAAAGGGCATGAGCTGCAATCATTAGTAGTGATGGCTCCGAAGAGGGTGGTGAAACCTTTGAGATGATGACTGGTAGGCACGTTCCATGCACCCACAACTGGCTACCTGCTGCATGGGCCCAATCCAGTGGGAATACTTTTGTAGGTAAAAAAAGGCAGTAGAGGAAGAAAAGCAGTTATTACAACCATCCTTCTCAATGCCCAGGCAGGCTGTCGGGAGCACTACTACACAGGTGACAGACTAGGCAAAATAGCACCTACATCACACTCTCACACTTCAATTGAAAGGTTGAAAAGAATAAAGTGCAAGTTGCTTCCCAATTTCAGGCACATCAATGGGAAGTGAAAATAAAGACTGGGGGCAGTTTTTAATTGCTTTAGAGGGAGGAGGTGGTGGCAGGGAAACAGATTCCCTCTAAGCACTCAGCAGTGTTAATGACTCCTGTTTACCAAAGGAGAAGTTGGCTGCAGGTTGGAAGGGGCCATTTGCCTGCCTTTACAGTTTAGCAAGTAGCTAGATCACGCTCAGGCCAGCATAACATGGAAAGTATTTTTCAGCTGTGGGTCCTCGCTGGCGAGATCAGCTGCTTCTCCAGCACAGCCTCTTCCCTCGCACTAGGTGTGCAGTGCGTTGTCCATGCTGCAGAAGCCAGAAGACAATTTGAACAAGGCTGCCCACCATCATGCCAGCTGCTCTGTGAAAGCTATTTAGACCCTCTGGGGTGCTCAGGCTACCTGTGATAAGACGTGGCTGTCTCTGGCAGGAAGGTGGATCTAACGAAGCTGCATGACAGTACTGCGGTGCCATCAGAGGCTAGAACCCCCAGGAATATTCTTTCCTTCCCAGATTCCTCCACAGCTTTCACCACAAGGGCAAGGCTAGAGCAGCTTCCATGGGAGACCGGCTGCAATGCTCTCTGAGAGGGAAGTGCACTCGCAAAGCTTTGTTTTTTCAAATTCCATGTTCAACTCCTTAACAAATGTCTGTGGCACTCTAAATAGACTGAAATGAGGGGCTGGGGCCAACAAGACAGGTATGTAGCTGTAATGATTTAAGCACAAACAACCAGTTACGATCATCAAAATGTTCAGATTCCAGCAACGGCTGCTGTAAGCGCCCGCCTCACTTAGTCATATAGCCAAGTCCAGATGGGTGTCTGGCTGCACTAACTGACTTGGGCAAAGCTATGGCAAGGGACAGAAACTAAGTCAGACTCCTGATCCTGGTATTACAATTGAAGAGGGCTCAATATGAACTGGTAAAGATATGGTATACACTACTTTCGAAGCACCTTAGGCATATTTTTTGATTCAAAAGTGGATTTGGGATGTTCTTTTGTTTGCTTTACTGGGAACTGGGGGAAGGAAGAGAAGGGAGAAACTCAAGCTAATCTTTACCAAAATACTACAGTGTTAGAAAAGCCAGGATACCTCACTCCTCCATGCTCTTAAGAACTGATTCTTACAGAAACTGTCCATCCATACACAGCTCTGCACTGCATGAGGTTTTTCCTTATCACCGAGCAAGATTTTGCTTTTCATAGAACTGCAGTGGTTTCTGCAAGGACCAGGTCAAAAAACCTGAGGAACCTTGTGACCATCCTCATTTCCAAAGCTCTGAAAGTAAAGGGCTTAGAAACTTGGAAGCCCAGAGCACATGCTACTGACAGGCCTCTGGACTTCCAACCAACACTAACAACAGAATATTATTTCATTCTATTTAGGGGATTACTCAATTCCCTTTGGCAAATGTCTGGATGCCACCTCTTTGGCATTTCCCAGATGAGTTGCAAAGTTAGCTTGCCTACCATCCCCACAAAGCCCAGAATGAAGTCTTTTTTCAGTAACCCTCCAACTACTGCACATGTCCTTGCAGCACCTTAATATTACAGCAGGTGATGAAAAACTGGGGGGAAGGGAGGGGGGGGCGGGAACGAAATACTTTACCAGAAGAGGCAGTACATCAATTTGACCAGGCTCTCTAGAGTCTGTAGAGATCGGGCACTTCAGCAGGGCTTTTTGGTGCTTTTATCTAATGCACATTCAATCAGTTGTTAGATAAAAGCACCAAAAAGCCCCGCTGAAGGGCCTGATCTATACAGATATATATTAAATCTATACAAATCTAATGTGATGCCTCTTCTGGGCATGCACTGCAGTCAGTGCAGGGGTGTGCAGAGCTGAAAGTAAAGCATCGGTTTTTCACTTTTTTTTGTCTGTAAGAAGCCAGCACGGTTATGCCATAAAGACTTTGATCACCCCATGGATTTCTTTCTTGCAAACTGGACAAGGTGATCTTCCTTTTCTCAGCATTTTTGCACATCTGAAACAGGCCACTAGGTGAGCAGACTTGCCATGGACAATATTCCCATTCCGTGGTCTCTTCTGGCATACGAGGCAGGGATCCAACAGTTGTTTGATATTGTCAAAAGATTCTTTTTCCTTCTCTTCATGCTTGCCAAAATTCACCAGTGTCTCTTGGCTGCTGCAATCCTCCGCTAAATCCATGGACTTGATGGAACTGCAGGGATCCATGTGAGACTTGCCTTCTACCAAAAATGGGTGTTTGGCTTGGCCAACTGGAGCAGAAACAGTTCTCCTGCAGTCTGGAACATCAATCCCCTTGTCATCATTTTTATCTTGCATAGCATCAATATTGGACATGGATAAAGAGTGAACGAGTTTGGGGCAATCCGAGTACCAGTTCTTCCTTAAGGCCCAGCAGCGGTAACAGTACCGTTTGACTGGAGAGTTAAACTTCTTGCACTTGCTGCACTGCCAACACTCCTGAGAAATGACGGGGGCAGACAAAAACAGTGGCATGTTAGGGCACTCTTGCATGTGGCTAACTCCCTCTACATTGGGGAAGCAGCAAGGGGCCTCCATCCAAAGTGGCATGGTATCCCCGAGTCAAGGCCAGCAGATGCATGGCATGTAGCTTGATCAGTGGTTAATATGGAAAGCTTCAGATACTCCACTTGACCCATACCCCCTCTGCACTCGGGCCTTCTCAGGTGTTTAACTCTTTCCTCTCTCTCAACCTTTGTATCATTAGAGGACAGTAATGTCCTTATTCTGTGCAGTTTGCTGAATTTTAAATGCCCCAATCTAAATTCAAGGTGGATACCCTCTTTGCATCGGTTAGGAGTGTATTTCTTAGAATCAGTAATCATTTAGCATCTGTTGGATCTACACAATTGATAGTGGCTTACTTGATTACCCTGAGATACCAAGGACAATAGCTGCCCAAGTTTAGAGTTATATAATTCAGTTGTCCAATGCCAGGGACAACCTAATTTGTCAAGCCAGCATAGTCTGGAAATGACACTCAAAGAGTTTTGGCTATACCAGCTCCAAGGAGCAGCATAATGTTATTTCTTCTGACATACACCAAAAGGAAGCCTGAAAGGGTTAGTGGAGGTGAGGGCAGGGAACACAGATGAAAGAACACAAATCTGATGTTCCTCAAGATGTACCGCAAGAACATCTCTCTGAAAAGTCAAAGACGATAGTTCAGAAACAGAGGGAGTTAGTGGGAGGGAAGGACAGTCTAGTAGTTAAGTGCCAGCCTGAGTTGTGGGAAACACAGGCTGAAGCTCCGCTTTGTCACAAGCAACCTGTGTGACCCTGGATGGGTCACTTCAAGGCCCAGATCCACAAAGGCCCCCAAATACTTAGGTGGATCTGGGCCTTAATTTTTCTGCCTCGGTTCCCCTTTTGCAAGATGGAGGAACAGCACTGCCTCCCCACAAGACTGGTGTTAAGGCAAACATTATTTGTCAGGAGCTCAGATACTGTAGTGACGAGGACCATACAAGTACCTCAGCCAGAGGGGGGTGAGAACTGGATGCTCTCACCATTCTGGAGGAGGCATCCAGCAGCTTAAGAGTTGGCTTGGAGCCTGGCTGACATTTCCAAATCACCATCAATGATTAAATCCCAGAGTTCCTCTCAAACTGCAGTTCAGAACTGGCTCTAAGAAAGTGTGCAGACATATCCACGCTTTTTTACTTAGGAGTTTTTTTTTTAAATGATTAAATTAATTCAGCATTGAGTAGAAGGCACTGGAAAATGAGGGCCTGATCCTCATTCCATGGGGTTCAAGCAGCATAAAGGGGCCTCTAATCACACATAAATATAGTTCACACTCATCCACTTTATGCTGCCAGCAAGGGGACTTTTGTGTGAAGAATAAAGCCTTTAATTTTTTAGACAAAGAGCAGCAGAGGCAGGTGCAAATTCTCCCACGCTGCCCAGCCCTGAAGGAGCAACTCTGGGACAAGCAGGGTGTTTACTCTCCTTGGTCCACTCAATGCCTGACCATACTCAGGCTGCCACAAGTAGGTTGCTGATGACAATTCTTGTGTTGGTGTTTAAACAGACCCCTGTCCAAAGCAAACTCAACTGAGACAGAACCGCTCTTCCAAACCTCTCTGTGTAGGCCCCAAACAAAGGAAGCGTACTTTCTTTGACTTAGAAGAATCCATGGGAAGTGTTCTGTATCACAACCTACAGCGTACATTGTAGTTGCTAAACCTAGGGCTGCAGTGTACTCAGGGCACGGAGTGCTGAGCCCAAGGATGCATACCTCAGAGGGAATTTCTGTATCCACATCATCATCTAAGCACTGAGAATCTTCAGAGTCATTAAAATACGTTGCCTCAGTCTCCTAGAAAAATTCAATGAGTTAGTAGAACTGTATGCAAGGAATCCATATTCCAGAAGTGCCCAGCCTTGCACCTTGACATTAAAATGGCCCCATCAACTTGCAACGTCATCCACTTCCAGAAAGGAGTAAGAAGTAGTTTAAAGTATGGCAGCTGCCCCCTGAATCCTCCTGACAAGTGCTGTGGTTCTCTTCACTGATGT